CTTTATAACAGTTACATCTTTAACGGTAAATGCTTTAGTATCTGTCTATATTTCTAAGATGTGGTATTATGTACACTATTTACATTGTTCGGACTATCGTCCTCATCTTTGTTGCCATATTTATCACTACGTTTCGGCCGTTGTACGCTCCGGCCTTCTTCAGGTGGTTTGAATGTCGAACTGAACCTCTCTACTCTTATTACATTTATCTGAAGTGAATATAACAAACCCAACCGGAATTAGACCTCAGCTCTTTAATTGGGAGAGTCTACCTGTTTATAAAATAACATTTTGAAAACCTAGTTTATACTTGAGATTTAACACCAACCTCTGATGCCATTGTGAAATCCGAAACTATATCTTTCATAATATCTACTATTATTGAACTTTGTCTTGTCAAGGCCACTGTGTTTTGGGTTTTTTTTTTTTAATCAATTCACCCCAAGCATGACGACAATGCCACTAAGACACAAGCGACTGCTTTGAACGATGATTAAATATTTTTTAGAAGGAACCGGAAACGTTATCCTAAAGAGGGAACAAGGGATAAGCCTATATTCCTGTTCAAAAGACTGGGGAGGAGTGTGAACCTGACAATAGGCGAACCTCTCTAATCCTATTACATCTACATGAAACTCACCGATTTCCTCTATGGCCTTATTAGGAAATGTTTTCTCTCATATTGTCTCTCAAAGACAAATTTAACTCAGCAAACGCGCTATCTTTCTAAGATTGCGTTCTATATTAACTTCCTTTATAAGAGTTATATCTTTAACAGTAAAGGCTTTATCGGCAATTGTGAATCGATTTCAGATTTGCTTCACCATTTGCACTTTTGCAAGTTTACTTTACAGTCATTTCGATTTTGAAGATATTTATTTTAAATCAATTCACCCCAAGCAAGGCGATAATGCTACTAAGACACGAGGTGCTACTGAGAATGAAAAAAGGATAAGAAAAGTTTAGAAGGAACCGGAAACCTAATCTCAAACAGGAAAAAAACGATAAACCTCTATTCCTGTTCAAAAGATTGGAGAGGAGTGTGAACCTGACAATAGGCAAACCGATCTACTCCTATTGAGGAAAAAATAACAAATAAATAGTAAATAAATTTTCAGTGTTCAGATGGTGACGTCAAAAGTAAAGAGTTGAAGCTGACTTTAAAAGGAACCGGGAAACCCACTCTTAAAGGGGGGGGAGTATAAACCTCTATTACTATTCAAAAGATCAGGGAGGGATGTGGACCGGACGATAGACGAACCTATCTACTCCTACTCAAGAGGAAAATATTAAATTAGTAAATGAAATTTCAGTGTTGAGATGGCGACGTTAAAATATACAGTTGAAGTAGAATTTAGAAGGAACCAGAAACCCAATCCTGAACTGGAAACAAGGGATAAACTTCTATTCCTATTCAAAAGATCAGGGAGAAGTGTGAACTGGGCGATAGATGAACCTATCTTTTCATACTACTTCTTATGCGTCTTTCTGACTCGCACTTCGACATTCGACTTTCTCTTTCTTATTCCAAATTCTTCAACGCTATCACACTTTTGTTGTTTCTATATTTGCATTGAAGGCATCCATCAAAATGATGTGATATACTCTCTCTTCGTTTCTATGTAGTTGTAATTTTCAATTTTTATGCATATTCTTAGAATGTTTTTCAGGATATATCTTTTGAATAATCTGAATACTATCAGTTACTGCAGTTGACAAAATCCAGAGAAAGATCTGCAATGTAACCGACGTGACGTGGCTTCCCTCTGTCTTTTCTACAAATATTTACATGACAACTTCTCTGACGAGCTTTTCCCCTGGTGCCTCGACTACATGTATTTAAGTGTGCTACTAGATTGGCAATTAGGTCCCACCAAAATAAATAAACACAACCGCTACTTCTGCTCCAACAGTTTCCCTTCTCGAACTTCCCACCTGTGGAATTCACTTCCGTTTTCTTGCTTCCCAGATAACTACAATCTTAAAATGCAACGTCAATCGCCATATTCTTGAACTCTGTTCATTTTTGTGTCCTTTCTTCAATCCTCCCTATTCTCAGTCATCTCTTTCTATTTCAGTTTCACTCTTTATAATGCCCGGCGGGCTGATGACATTACAGCCTTGCTTGGGATGAAATGATTAAAAAAAAAGGTGATGTATTAGCGAAACCTTTTACGTTACTCGCAATGAAAATGTTGGCTAAAAATCATACGACACAAAACTTGTTACTCTCCTTTCACTTATAAAGTAGATAATTATTTTCACTTGAAAGAGATTCACTCATTTCTTGTTTTTAATCATTTCCTCTTGGCAATTCTGATCATGCTGTAGGGTCTATCAACATCTCCTTCAACTCCACCCCTTTGCAAAGAACCTCCTACCACTAGAACCTCGTTCTGCTATCAACGAGCAGACTGGGACTCGTTCCGGGATTTCCTTCGCGATGTCCCCTGGGATGTTGTCTTTACGCTCCCCGTTCAAGAATGTGCTTCCGAGGTCTCCTCCTGGGTTAAAGCTGGAATAGAGGCTTTCATCCCCTCAAGGAAATATAAAGTCAAATCACACTCCTTCCCTTGGTTCTCCGCTGCTTGCTCAACTGCCATTGACTATAGGAACCACTTCTTCCACTTATATCGAAGTGACATGTCTGACTGCAATAGAAGTCTCTTTGTCTCTCCCCGTAACGAGTGTAAGCGTGTCCTCAATGAAGCAAAGTCATTATCTGCTGCTTAATGAAAGAACGTATTGCATCTCGCAAATTCGGCTCCAAGGTTTATTGGCTTCTCTGCCAGAGCGTACTTAACAATAGCAAACCCTCTATACCTTCTTTGTTCAACCAGTTCGAGGTTCTAGCCTCTTCTGCCGACAAGGCTGAATGCTTTGCTCGGAAATTCTCACTCAATTCAACGCTCGACTCTTCCGGTGTATCCACACCAGATTTCCCCCTTAGAACTGAGGCTCTGTTGAGCGAGCTGCACATAGCCGGTATTGGGTATTATCTCTAATTTAGACCCCGACAAGGCTAGTGGTGGAGCTGGGATACCAGCCATTGTCCTGAAGAAATGTGCGCCTGAATTGGCCCCTACCCTCTCCAAATTATATCATTACCGCCTCAATGAATCTTGTTTTCCAGATTGTTGGAAGTCCTCATCCATTGTTCCTGTCTTTAAGAACTCTGGTGACCCTTCTGACCCTTCTAATTACCGTCCTATCAGTCTCCTACTCCTATTCGGCAAAGTCTTCGAAGCTTTAATCAACGCCGAAGTGGTTTAGCACCTTACATCCCATGATCTGCTCTCCGACAAGCAATATGGTTTCCACTTTGCCCGTTCTACAGCTGATGTGCTTACGGCCATAACTGAAATTGTTTACCAAGCACCTGATAATAACGGAGAAGCACGTGCCGTGGCTCTAGATATCTCCAAACGCGTTTGATAGGGTTTGACATGCTGGCCTCTTCGCAAGCTTCAGGGTTATGGAATTTCAGGTCGATTGTTTGACTTAATACAACCATTCCTGTCAAACCGTGTATTGAAGGTCGTTCTCAACGGATTCTCCTCCAGCTCCTATCCCACGAACGCAGGTCTTCCCCAAGGCTCCATCCTAGGCCCTACTCTGTTCCTTATCTTCATCAACGATCTTCCTGACGCCAAAGATTCCCAAGTAGGCATCTACGCGGACGACACTACAATTGCCTCAAAAACAAATTTAGTGTCGTTGACAAATCTAACCTGGCCGTTCGTCTCGAAAAGGACTTCCAATCGGTTGTGAACTGGGGCAAGAATTGACTGATTAACTTTCACGCCTCAAAAACAAAACTGCTCTCTACTACTCATCACAGAGAACCATCCCTGCCCCTCCATTAGAATGTCTGACGCTCAACTTCCGGGGAGCTCCTCTTTGCGACTACTCGGTTTCACATTGACTGCTGACCTGAGATGGAACAAATACATTGAGTCAATAGCTTCGTCTACCGCAAGGAAAGTTGGCTTTCCTATGCCGCGCCAGGAAATTTTTTCTCCCTGGAGTCGATCCTTCAAATCTACAAATCAACCATTTGCCCTTGCATGGAGTGTTGCTGCCATATATGGCCCGGTGTCACTTCTGTTTGTCTCAAGATTCTTGATAATATCCAGAGACGGATATGCAATGTAATTAGCCCTGATCTGGCATCTCGTCTGCAGTCGCTCTCTCACAGACGTGCGGTCGCCTCCCTCTGTCTTTTTTTTACAAATACTTTCATGGTAACTGCTCCAATGAGCTACTTTTGCTGGTTCCCAAACTTCCTGAATTTAAGCGTTCTACTAGGCTGGCATTTCGCTCACACACTTTCACTATCGAAACTATTAAATGTAGCCGTCTCTTCTACTTCAATAGCTTCATGTCTCGCACTTCTCGTCTGTGGAACTCCCTCCCCTTTTCCTGTTTCCCTGATAGCTATAATCTCCAACTATTCAAATGTAATGTCAATCGACGTCTCCAGATGCCCTGATCTATCCCCTATCCTTCTCTTCATCCTTTCCTCTATCACTCCTATTTGCTCTCGCTCCAACTCTCTGTAACCCCTCGTGTGCTAGTGGCTTCCCGCCTTGCTTGGGGTGAAACGTTTAAAAAAAATTCCTCCAAGCAAGGCAATAAAGCTACTAAGACGCAAGTGTGTTACCGAGTGGGAAAGAATACAGGTAAAAGAAAAACATTGTAAAGGATGACTGTTTTTGTTTAGCGGCATATCAATACCTATATGGGTTATTTAATGCTCATATCTAAATATTTTGTACGCAATTATATTTCATTTTATTTTGGGGACAGATAATAATAGTTTTAGTGATACAACTCTTACTAATTAACACATAGATGATGAGGGAGAAGAATTCGATTTATACCTTTGCCAAGGGTAATTTTGCGCGTCAGTGAATATATCAAACCCAGATGAAATTAGAACTCGGCTCTCCGATTCAAAATCCCGAACCATAATCCATTACACCAGCCGCACATCCAAGCTTACAGCACATGGTATTTCCAAACGGTCCCCCATTCTTCAGTTGCTCGATGTTGCTTAACTTCGGTGATCATACGGGAACCTGTTTTTCAACGTGGTATGGCCAGAAGCCATTATTAAGAAGAAAGAAGACAATAAAAAAACAAGAATTAAAAAAGCAGGAGATAACAACTGATATTACACTGAATTTTTTGAAGATCAAATTGATATAGAAGTAAGAGGCCACACGCAAGAAGTGTGAAAGAAGAAACTGTTAAAATAGAACTTACGGTTGCATCTAGTGATTTCAACTATAAAATGATGGGACCTAGCTACAATTCTAGTATTGTGCTTAAATTCGTAAAGCTCATCAGAACAATTTCCATAAAAATATTTATAGAAAATATACAGGGAAGGTACTGTACGGAGACAGGAAAGTGGCTGAAGCCAAGATGCCAGGTCAGAACCAATAACATGTGAATTTCGCTACCATGTACCAAGTGATGTTGTTCAGCTCTATGATTCGTTTGTCTAGATTGTTGTTTTCAGTTACAATTTTGAAATCTATAAATGTATATCTATTAGGTTGAACCATAAATGCGTTTATTGATTCTTTATAGATTCGTTTTCTCCGTTTCATCAACCCTTTGGGGGTTATTTAAAGCCATAACTGACTTGGATTCTTTTGTTCCTTTTCGCCAGTTTGGCCAGTTTGGCGGTGTTCCAAGAAACTCCGATCCCGTACAGGAACAAAACGTTTTCTTTTCTGTAACATCTTTTTTAATAGTAATATTTCTTCGACTTCTTTACGTGATCGCACGATTGCCGTCGATCGCCACGTATGCAAACGTGATTCATCGCTCTGCCATGATCAAGGTACCGACCCACTGGATGTGTTCTTCCGAGGAACGATGCTGACGGACGACCAAACCGGCTTACGTCCGTTACACTTGTTCTTCTAGCTTTAGAGCTTTCTACCCAATCATACATCTTTCGTTGGATTCATGGTGCATGTTGCATCCGTGTTGCATCCATGTTGCATCCGTGTTGCATCCAGCGATGGATTTCCGTTGGTTTCAATCCTCTGCCCACAGAAAGTGCACTAAAGTACAATTACATTTTTAACATATTTACGATTTTTTTTACAATGACTTGTTGCCACTAATCAAGCAGATCTTCAATACTTTTTTTTAGTAAAATTCTGATGTGAAAAGATTTTCGAGGAATCGTTGAATCTGATTTTCATCAGAGAAGGTTTTCCTCATCACAGCGTCTTGTGGCGAATGAAAAGCGTAACAATCTACTGCTGCAATGACTAATCATAGCGGATCGGGTAGAACAGAGAAACCGAGTTCCCAATTCTTTCACATATTATATTTGTTGAATGTAACCTTGCGTTGTCATGGAGGAGAACATTTTTCCCATTGACGAGCGCAAGGAAATTTTCGACCAAACTTTTATTGACATGTTGCCGCTGCTGGACGTATAAATGTGCATTTAGTGTTAAATATTGTCGTATGTAACAGATTTTTCATCACCAGTTATAATATGTTTAATGATAGCTTCATCATTACAGTTGATTCCCGTTTTCCCATGCACACGCGTGTTGTCGCTCATTAGCGCCTTCCCGTTGTTTTTACCATGTAATTTCAAAATTGCCTTTAATTTCTGATCTATTCTCGTTATTACCGTTTTCTTTATCAACTTTATTCTTCAACAATAAAACACAATTGCATTTTATTCAATAACATCTTCAATTTGAAATGACTTGTTGCTACTTACCAGGTAGATTTTCGGTACTTTTTGATTAAAATTCCGCAGGTTTTGATGAGAAAAAAGTTTTCGACGAAACTTTGAATCCGGTTTTCATTAGAGAAAGATTTTCATATCAAAGTATTTTCCAATTATCGAAAACAAATGGTAATAATCGGTTGGCACAAGTTCAGGTGAATAGGGCGATGAGGACAGAACAAACGAATTCTAATGTTTTCCTGTGTTCCACTTGCTGGACGCGTTCTTGTGTTGTTATGAAATACGAACATTTTTGCGATTGACGAACTCGGGGAGATTTTCGATCAAACATTTGTAGACACGTTGCAGCTGCCGGACGTATATATTCGCATTGTGTTTCATTGCGTTCTAAGATCTTTAAATGAATAATACACTTACGATTCTAACACATTACTTTTCTTCCGTGGACCTCAGCTTTTAGAGTTGGTCGAGGAGATTTATCCTCGTTTCTCTGCTGCATTGAAATGTGAAACTGGCAGTCACTGTGCAGTGTTGATTATTATGTCCATATATATAAATTCTCTGTTTATCATATTGAGTACCCTTCTTCTATAAATGTAGCAAATTTTAATGACTATGTATTGAAAAGGTATCGGACTAGGACCTAAAAAATGATGTACATCATTACTCCAGCAAATAATATATTTCATTTATTATTTAAAGTAATGGTCTTCATAAAGAAGTTCTCGGATATTTTCCACACTTACTGAAGTTTTGATGGAAATTTTCCACCTTGAAAGCTCCTTAACCGTCACTCGAACGGTTCAAAATGCGTGATTCGCTCAAAACCTGGTGTACGATTTAAAGAATGTTCCAACATTTAGAAACTCTTACATAATAATTGACACACGAGTACATAGCACGAACCTGATTCAATAGTTTACATTTATCGGCAAACTGATTCAATAGGCTATGAGCGTTAGCTCGACGTGCACACTTCCGTTGACCGGTACGCACAGTACCGGCCAACGGAAGTTGACTTCCCCAATGTTCCCATCTATTAAATCAAACCACATTAAAATGAGTCGCATAAGAATTTTTTGCTAATACCTGGAGAGCACAAATTATAGATACAGATTAAACTTATCGTCCAAAAGTTTATGGACATGTTGCAGCTGCTAGACGTGTAATGTGCATTAAGTGTTTCATTGAGTCTTAAGAACTCTGAATGTATTCTACCATATGCACAATATTACCTTTCTTCCATTGAGATCACCTTCTACTGACGGTTGTGGAGATTTATCCTTGTCAATCATTTGTATTTTGCATTTAACATTGTTGTAGGCAACCCATTTTTCATCGCCTGTTATGATAAATTTAATGAACGGTTAGAGTTAGAATGATACACTGAACATTACATTTGGTTCGTTTAAATGGAAATGACTTATGACTCAGCCACATACATATTTTTACTTTATTTAATTCCCAAGTTTTGTCATGCCTACACAGTGAACGCCATCACTGATCTGTAGACACATGTAGTTGGGTCTTTGGTGTGATGTAATGGGTTACGGGATGCCTAACGTGACGTGACTTGGCCCTTTTACTAATTATAACGCAGTCGGTATGGCAATTAGCGAATTCAGAGAATATTTCCAAAGGAAAGCGGGTGTGAGTTCAAGTCTCACTCGCGGTTTATTCATTAATTCCAGTCAACGCTGTTTACTAACGCATGTGGAATGGTGATCTAAGAAGTTGCAATAAAAAATGTCAGAAATTAAAATGAAAGAAATGCCAGTGAAGTTTTAATAATGGCTGATAATACGTCATCCGGATGTGCAGGTCGGTCAATGTTGCAAATACATTTACAAATATAAAAATACATACAAATGCATTCAACATTATGGATCAAAATAGGAAATTTTATATTGTATGTTTTTTCAAGACTTTACATGAGCAAAACAAATTCACGGATTTAGACGAACAAAAAAATGACGTCAAATCCACTAAAATTTTCATCGTTTAATAATCAGTTTTGCTTCGTTTAATTTGAAATGTGAATAAATATAGGTAGAAAAAAAGCAAATGTTGATAAGACAGTAAGGGTCACAAAGCATTGCCCGGGGCCCCCAATCAGGGTTGCACCCACACCGACCCTATGTTCTTTGTTATTTGGTGAATATAATATATTTAATTTTTGCTTTTATTTGAAATATAACAGCCTAACGCTAATCCGTATTAAAAGAAATGTTGTAAATGTAATATTTACATTTTATTTAAAACCTGTTGATTCAAAGGTTAAACTCCCAAAACTGTAGAACTATTGGTGCCATTCTGAACTGACTTTAAAAAGAGCGCGAAAAATTTAAAAAAATGCAAATTAAAGAAACATGAAACAACAGCAATGCAATAATCAATAAATTGGTATTCATGTTTAAAAATAAATTATATTTTACCTTATATAACCAATAGTTTAAGAATATAATTTTTTTATTCTATACGTCTTTATTAAACTTAGAAGTATGCACATATATCATTTTATTTTTTCTACATTAAAAGTATCCATTTCGTTAAATAAATCTTTTGAGTTTAATTGCTCGCTTTTTTTTTCATTATTTTCTTACATATTTCATGCTATAAAATATATAATTTCACCCAATATAACTTTTGTAAAAATAATTCTAAATTTTCGAATGTTTATTAAAATAACGGAGTTGCGAGTAACCAAAAAATGGTCGGAATTGGTAAAGAGGGTTATTGAATTAATTATGTTAATTGATTGATGTTTCTTAATTATTCATTGGCATCCAAATAATGTTTTTATTTTTATTTCATCCGTAAAATTATTATAATCTTATAGAACCATTTGTTTAATTTTTTTTTTTTTTTTTTTACATTATTTACATTATTCGGACTATTGTCCTCATCTTTGTCGCCATATTTATTACAACGTTTCGGCCGTTGTATCAGATAATTCCCTGATTTGAGACAAATATTTTAAAAACAGGTGTTAGCGAGTTTTGGCTTTCATTTCGGTAAAAATAAGCATCCATTTTGGTGGCAAAGAGTTTTACAAAACAAGATCTAAAAAAATATCTGCATCGTACAAATTTGGAATTGCAAGAGAGAGGAGCGACTTTTAAAAAAAAATATGTTTCAGAAAATGCTGCATATTCTTCTTCCAAACGTAAAAATGAGGCCATGAAATTTGGCGGCATGCTTATTTCTTCTTCTTCTTCTTCTTCTTCTTCTTCTTCTTCCCGTGTACCTTCAGGATGTCGATGATCATGGCTCTCTACAATGTCTTGTCTTTTGCAGCTCTTAATAAATTTTGTCGTTTTGCTATCTCTTCTAAACTTTGTTCCGCCATCCACTTACTGAAGCACGCTAGGTAGGTT